CTCACCAAACAGACCCTAAGTTTAAGGTTTGATTTCATGTAGTTTAAGAATGTGTTCAAAGTAAAAATTGTGATTGGAATTTGTTTAGAAGAGAGAATTGTTAAGAGGCACATATTCCATTTTGAAATATAAGTTGGGAATAGAGGGAGTATAAGTTTTGGTTATTTGGTCCGAATTGTTATTAATAGCTTCAAGGAACTTTTTACGATCATAGTTGATTGTTAGGTTTCATTTATTGTCTTTCTTTTCTTGTTAATGCAGATCCAATGCACAATCCCTCAGTAAAACAGAGAAGTACCAACTTTACTCGGAACTTAGAAACTGCCTTGATATTGTAGACCCCATAGAGGGAAAACCAGTGAATGAAGTGGTGGGTGTCTTTGAATTATGAAACTGCTCATAACTTTCACCAGAATGTTTGTCAATGCGAGCAACTTCTCATATCAAACTTTGTTTATGCTTTAGGTAGAAAGAGTGAAATCTGCAACTTCATCTTTAAGAAGCATTCTTCTGTCTCCATCATTTTCTGATTTGTTTTCAGACAATGGGTCCGTAGACAGGATGGATGAGGATGTAGCATCTAACCTTGCTATTCGGTTGAAAATAAGTTTGACAGTGTGGGACTTTATTCTACCAGTTACTCCTTCAATCCCTGCTGTTATTGGTGTATCCTCATGTCATTGTGGTTATTAATGATTTTAAAAGAATCTGAGTTATTTGTTATCTCCCATTCCACTCTATTTTTCAATGTTTCTCATTGTTTCCAAATTCAAAATGCTGTGCCTATTTAAGTTGGGTTTGATTTTCCTCCTTGAGAGCAAGATGTTTGATAATTTCCTTGATAAATCCTAGATATCTGACACTGTATTTGAAGATCGATTTGGTGTTGAACATGGAAGTAATGAATGGTATGAGATTCTAGATCAGCATTTCAAGTGGCTACTGCAATATAGAATTAGTCCATATTTCTGTAGATGGGGTGACAGTATGAGAGTTTTAACGTACACCTGCCCATGGAAAGGTAATAGCGATAAGATAAGAGTATAAGGCAGCTAATGTTTAAAAGTAATTTGTTACAGATGCCATGTCCTAAAAGCCTTCTTTTCTGTGTGTGTGTGTGACTCTCATTTAAACATGGATGATCGTGAATAGACTACTGATACTATAATATGTCTTTATTGTGTGGTTATGTAGCTGATCATCCAAAATCTGATGAATATTTCTCTGATCCTCGACTTGCTGCCTATGCTGTACCACACAGCCCAGTAGTCAGATGGTATGAAGGCCTTATCTTTCCCAATTCTGGAAACTTTTTTCTCCCATCTCTGGAGGTATACATGGTCATGCTTCTGCCTGTTTTGTATGCAGTGAAGATACTGCAAAAGACTACCTACAAAGAGAAGTTGAGATACTGAGAACAAAATCTCATTGGAGAAAAGCCTACTTCTACTTGTGGGACGAGGTAAGATTAGTTTATGCAAAGTTTGAGCTCAGAAAGATTAGTTGATTCTGGGGATGTTTAGTCTGCAGTTCAATACACAACTGCACAAGAATTCCTCTAAATGGATGATTTTCTTCAGAGGTTTATCATAAATGAAATATTTTAAGATCTCATAAAATGTTTTTAAGAGGCTTATGTATAAGTATAATGATTTTACTAAGTACTTTTAACTTGGTCTTTATGATAATCGTCTTTCCACGTTGTCACTACGAGGAACCTCTTTCAGTTTTATATTTCAACAGCCTGAATCTATATGTCAAAATAGAAATATAGTACTGCAGTTTGACGGAATTTCTTCTAGAACTCTTAAAGTGTCATAGAATTTGGGTAGACAATAGTCTGCTTGTATTTATGTTTATGAGATCCTTTTGTTTAAAATTATTTTGTTTCAGTAATGTGAGGATTATAGTTCCTCATTATATGCGTGCGGCTCCTAAGAATGATGTTGCTTGCTGCCAGCCTCACAATCTTGAACACTATGATGCTGTCCGAAGAATGGCCAGCGAGATTCATGCCTACGCACCAGACTCTCGTGTTTTGACTACGTACTATTGTGGTGTGTATTTGCTTTATATATTTAGTAATGTAATCATCATCATCATGGGGAATGAAATGCACAAGGGGTTTTTTGGTATCTCTATTTGACAGTCATTTTCAAATGAGAAATGTGGGTTCTCCTTTTTTGGATCTTTTTCCTCTTCATTTAAATTACTGTTGCGTATAAGCAAATTAGGAAGTTAGAACACAAAAATAATTGATGAAAATTAATCTACGAATGAGAAGCTGCACACCTGCTGATTTTATTTAGCTTCACATATTGAACAATCAATCAAGATGGGTATCACGTTTTGGTTATTTATTAGAGTACATCACTCCAAATGAAAAAGTTGTTATTTTGCTAGCAAACCTATTATTTTGCCTTAAGAATGCTGACATTCATCTGGTAATCTGGAATGAATTGGTCGTATGCCATCAGATATTTATCTGTGTTCTTAAAACATATGGCGTGATCGTGTAAATTATGGAGTAAATTCTTTTTAATGCTTTACGTTTCCCCGTATTGAACTTTAACAGTGCTCAAGGACTGTCTTCCAACTGCTGTATTTATTATGCAGGCCCTAATGATGCACCTCTTGCTTCTAATAATTTTGATGCTTTCCTGAAAGTTCCTGAGTTCCTACGGCCCCATACACAGATATACTGTACAAGGTATTTATCAATTTGTCATGTATTTGATTTCTTAACCACATACATGCGGATCACACCCCTCTTTTTCAGTTTCCTCTTTAAATTAAAGGATTAAGTCAGTTGATGCTAAACTAGAATTGTATTACTAAGAAAATGCATGGTTGGAACATGATTAGCTGTGTTATGGGTAACAGAAATTCAGTTCTTTATTTCAATGCTGACTTCCTGTTTTGCTTTTCTTTCTAGTGAATGGGTAATTGGTAACAGAGAGGACCTCGCGAAGGATATCATTGCAGAAATAAGACCAGAAAATGGTGAGGTAATATATATAGCATGTGGAAGCCATCAGATGACTATAATAACTGATTTCTGTTATTTTTTGTGGCAATCTAGGGTCATATTCCATGTTGTACATGTTTCTTTTACAATGCAGATCTTCAAAATCAATATGATGGTCAATTGTTCCATATGAAATCCTTTCTCTAAACTGTAAAACAAACATATTCAGAAGTATCTCAATTTTAGAATTGATAGAAACCCGATCATCAGAAATGAGTAGAAGACTAATATTGGAGTTAAATGTGCTTTTTTGAAACTCCTGTAAGTTCATGTTAGAATGTTTATTCTTTTTACAGGAATGGTGGACATATGTATGTTTGGGGCCCACTGATCCTCATCCCAACTGGCACTTGGGAATGCGAGGTACACAACACAGAGCAGTGATGTGGCGTGTATGGAAAGAAGGTGGAACAGGTTTCTTGTATTGGGGTGCCAATTGCTACGAGAAGGCAACAGTTCCTAGTGCTGAGGTTCATGGATTTGGACTTATTTGCTTTATTATTTGTTTATTTATTTATTCCGCATGCGTGCATGTCACCCAATTTATTTTCAGATTTGGACCAATTTGGCTCATTATTCTCTTATTTATTCCACGTGCATGTGGCATGCATGTCACACAATTTAGGTAGAACTAAACTAGGGCTAAAACATACTCTTTCTACCAAAATAGGACTTTCAATATTTTAAAACCAAAATATATAATGCCTATAATGTCATAGAGCGTCAATATATAATGTCAAAAACACAGACATTCCAACATATAATGTCAAATTGTGGCATTGCACACTCCCAATGCTCCTACTTAGGAGATACAAACATAGGAAGTTCTATTTTGGTATAAGTTCAATGTGTCTTATTTAGGTAGATTTCTTCACAATGTTGTTCTTTTGTTCAGATTAAATTCAGGCGTGGTCTGCCTCCTGGGGACGGAGTATTGTTTTACCCTGGCCAGGTGTTCTCTTCTTCCAAGCAACCTGTTGCTTCATTAAGACTAGAACGGCTTCTCAGTGGTTTACAGGTAACCTTTAATTTCAGCCATTTGTAACTCTCACTTTTGGGGTAACATGTTACAACTAGGGGAATTTGACGAGGTAATCTCACATTGAGTTGCTAATCGAAGAAAGGTGATGTGAAATTACCTTGTAAAATTAGCTTTGTAATATGTACGAGCACTCTGTATGATCTTACAATTCTATGAACCAAACGAACCAAAAAAATAACTTGCGAGAAGTCTGTCTTGAACTCTCCACTTTTGTGTTTGTTGGCATTAGGACATTGAATACTTGAAACTCTACACATCAAGATATGGTAGGGAGGAAGCACTCAACCTGCTGGAAAGGACAGGAACTTACTTTGGTCCTGAACGTTACACACTGGAACACACGCCTATAGACGTCATGCGGGGAGAGATTTTCAGGACATGCCGGTGATAAAGTTGGTTTCTGTTTGGTTTTGATGAATGTGTTTTTTTGTGAACTCTGACAAAGATAAGCGTTAAACCGTTTTCAAACGGTAAAGAAATACTTGTGCTGTTATGTTATGCATTCACTATACGTCTGTTTCGGATTGTACCATTTTATGGACTTTCCTATATAAATGCACGAACATTTATATAATGTTATGAAAAGTTTTATTTAAGTTATATTTTATCAACATGCTTAGAGAATGTTCATTTAAGTGGTCGAAAGCTATAATTTTGATAAAAGCTTGTGATAAAAGCACTTCATGAACAAAAAATTTGTATTCATGAACAATCTTGATAAGTGACCATGTATAATTATGTAACCCAGTTCTTTTTTTTTAGAATTTATTGATTGACTTATTGAGAATCAAGTGTATTTTGAAAAAGATTGTTCCACTAAATTTTTCTCTACTCTTGATTGGTATTGAAATAAATTTCTACATTTATTTCTATCAAAATGTATATGTAAGGCTAATTATGTCAATATATGATGTACTAAAAAAATATCTCCCTCTGTACTGTACTATATTGATCTTTTCGCTTTGACTAAATATCATTTTTAAGGGATTGATTTTTTTCATTGACTTTCAATTATACCCTTCCTTATAAAACTTTAAAATAATAGTAAGGGCAAGGAATTTGCTGGACGCCTGGACCTCACCAACTCATGTGACAGTGACATTGGAGTGGTTGCGCATCTCAACATCAGGCATTGGGTTTTTGTCATGCTTCTCCTCAACGACCTGATCGATATCCAATTCACTCTCAAAGTCTTGCTTGGGCTCATACTCCAATTCCAACTCACTTTTCTCACTTTCACTGTTACCGATGACCCAGCTGGCGTTTGGAAGAGGAGAGGAGTCAGATCCAGCATCATCCGACTCACTCTCTCTGTCCTCTACGTCTGAAGCATCAAAATTTTCACTCTCCCCGTCCTCAAAGCTCATATCTTAATTGAAGCTCAGTCTTAGAGATCTGAGATTCATAACGAAATTTTACAGAATCCATATGAAGGTGGACCGATGTCGTTTAGCTCTAGGGTTTTATAAAAGTTGGAATTCACAGAGACACATGCAGAGGGCGAGGACACTTCGGGGGTGTTTGTTTTTCTGCCAGAAGACCTTCTGGCGTCTTTTGTCTGCGCCGCGCAGACGCGCGCAGATGATGGGCTCTGCGGATTGTTTGTTTTTTGGAAGACATTTCACTCAAAAAGGTCTTTCTGGCATCTTCTTGGAGAAGACATTAACCAATGTCTTCTAACATCTTCTCCTTTTTTTCGACTTCTCTTCACCACCACAATCGTCCACCGCCACCGTCCACCACTACCACCGTCCACCATCACCGTCACCGTCCATCACCATCGTCATCCACCGCCACCGCCACCGCCGCCACCACCACCACCACCGTCCACCACCACCGCCGTCAACGTCCACCACCACCCTCCACCACCACCACAATCGTCCATACACCACCACCGTACACTACCACCATTAATTTTTATAGTAGTCTACAGACATTAAAAAAACAAACAGTCTTTTTCTTGCAGACCGCAGACCTTCGGTCCACCACTTCTCCTGCAGATGTCTACAGTAGTGGTCCGCAGACCGCAAACCTTTTTCTGCAGAAAAAACAAACACCCCCTTCGTCATAAGGCGAGAATGAGAGATGGGAGAGAAGCTTGAGATAGATTTGGGTACTAGAGGAGGTGGAGAAGTGTGACTGTGTGAGAATGGAGGAGAAGAAGCGATAAGGATACAATGAGTAGGCAAAGAGATAAGGTTGCGTAAATGAGAAGCGGAGAAGTGATTGAAGAAATAAATAATTTGGGGGTATTATAGTCATTACATGTCCATTTAAGGTGTGTGAGAAGATAATTTTAGGATGAAGAAAAAAAGAAGCGAAAAGATAATTTTAGGACGGAGAAAGTATCAAATGTTCATATATACTGCCACATTATCATAGTAACTTCTATTTTGAGATCAAAAATTGTAGAATTTTTATTTTGGCATGTTCTTTATGTTTTAAATAGAGTAATTTCTTTAGAATAAAGGGTTTGGAGGTACCAACCTATAGAACATATCATATTCGAGTAAGGTCATTGTTTACTAAATAAAAACAAAATTTGATGGAAAGTATTAGAAATAAAAATGCTACGGAGTATAATTTTTTGGAAAATTAGTTTTTTATTAAACTATAATGCTACTCAACAAATAAAATTAAAATGTAAATTATTTAATATTTCAAAAAAATAAAATACTTAAGCATTATACTTCAAGAAGTAGAGATTGAAGTGTTAAATTATCTAATTTCTCTTCATTTTCATTCCTCTCTATTTTCTTTCTCCTCATTTTCTTTCCTTTTATTTTCTTTTCTCATCCAAACATATCCTTACTCCTCACAAAAATGATTAAGAATGATCATGTTCAATAAGTAATTCTTGCACTTATTGAGAATTTAAGATTATAATTTCCTCATTAAAAAAAATATAGTTTCCGTTTGGGTTTTGGAGTGAAAGACCCTTGAGATTGACATTCAAATGATTCAACCTTTTCCATTTGACTGATCATGTGGTGATTTTCCCCAACAAAAAACACAAAAGAAAAGAAAAGAAAAAAAGAAAATCTGTTTTCCAGCCACTCTCTGATGAATCTTTTTGTCCTGTTCTGTCAACTCACAGTCCACCCTTTCTTTGCTCTTCTCCCTTTGCCTTTTGTCTTATATCCCCAACAACCCAGGGAAAAAAACAGAGTAATATGGAAGAAATCAGAAACTCGTCTTCAATGGAGACGCAGGATCAAGAACACGAACCCCTCGGTAACTACACATTTCTTGGGGAAAAAAAGTTTTTTTTTCTTTAAAAAAATTGCTTCTTTTTTTTCTTTTCAATGTTCTGTTCTAATTTTGCAGACCCAGATGCGGAAGTGATAGCTTTATCGCCGGAATCAATAATGGCGAAGCACAGATTCGCGTGCGAGATATGCAAGAAAGGGTTCCCGAGGAAGCAGAACTTGCAGCTTCACCGGCGGAGCCACAACTTGCCGTGGAAACTCAAACAGAGCGCCGCCGGAAAACCCAAAAGGCGGCGCCTGTACATCTGCCCGGAGACAACCTGCGCCCGCCACCACCCTTCCAGAGCCCTCGGCGACCTCACCGGAATCAAGAAGCACTTCCACCGGAAGCACGGCGAGAAGGTTTTCCGGTGTGAGCGGTGCGGCAAGAAATACGCCACCGACTGTGACTGGAAAGCCCATTCCAAGACTTGCGGTACCAGAGAGTATCGTTGTCTCTGTGGAGCCTTATTTTCCAGGTAATAATAATAATAATAATAATAATAATAATACATACTCCTTCCGTCCCAAATTATAATGCATGTTTACTATTCACATGGTCAAACTTCATTCACTTTCTTTCTCTATTTTCGTTAACAATTTGATAAAATAAAATATTATTGTCACTACTAGTTTTGTAAATCTTTTGATGTAGTTTTTTAATATGTAATTTTTATTTTTTAATTCTATACCATTTGTGATATAAAATGATTTGAAAATAATTTCAGTCAAACATCGTAAACCGAAATAGGCGTTATAAATTGGAACAAGTAATAATTTCATTAGTCCATTTCGGAGTATTTTATCATTAAAAAGTATTTTTTTAATTATTTTTTTGTAATTACTATTTTCAATTTGTCACCAATGAAATTCTTGTTTACTATTCACGATGTTAAATTAACTTCAATCTCACTATATCAACTTATCAATCTTCATCATGTATGCAAGCTTTAGAATAATTACTCTCACCTTTCCTAAACTATCTTTCTTTTTCCTATTTGTGTATGCTTTTCATTTATTATTTGATAAATAAAGTGTACATATTAGTAAGTTTACTACTTGTCTTATAAATGTTTTTCCCCTAATTTTTAAATAACTGAGTTGTAATATTTATTTTTCATATTAATTTGTAATTAAATATAATAAAATAAATTCAAATGAGATATATAATACACATTATTTGAATGGGTACAGAAAAAAAGTTGGAACGCTGCAACAGTCCAACCCAACAAAATTGTGAGGGAGTAAATTATGATATAATTTCAATCTAGTCCTTAAAAATGTCATATCGTATTTGGTGTGCACAAGAAACTATTACAAAAAATAAAATCCCACATTCTCGTTATCGGAGTTTGACTTTAGAATCACCCACCTTGACATCGTCTCTTTATATCACAATATAAACGTAGATAAAGGGAGCATATGTACAATCGGCAATCATCATTTTTAGAGTCAGACTTATTATATCGTCCATCCATCAAAACATATGACATGACATAACCTTTTTACTTGACACAATCCCAAATGTATCGTTATTGTTAGTGTTTATGTGGATTACCCCCTACTTCTTTCTTCTAAAGATACTCCCTCCGTCCTCCTATAATGATCTTCTCGGTTCGCAAAATAAAGAAAAATTCCAAGTTTTTTCAATCTATTTTATTTAAAAATTGGTATAGAAATAAAAAATAAAACATACATATTTAAAAACTACATCAAGAGTTCAACAAAACAAGTGGTGACAAGAATATTTTATTTTATCATATAGGCCATGAAAAAACACAAATAAATATAAATTCCCGTGAAGTTGAAATAATGCTCTGGGAAGATCATTATAGGACGGAGGGAGTAGTTTTTTTCTTAAAAAATTGACACAATTTAACTATAATAAAAAAATGGTAAAATTTGATTTATTTTAAAATGTAGTTTTGAAATATTAATTTTTTATAATATTTAATTCATAATTAAAAAATGTCACAATTTGACCAAAAAAGTCAAATTGTGTCAATCTTTTAGGGACGGAGGAGATATTAAACTACTCCATTCGTCCCTAATTTAATTACAAATTAGGAATTGCAAGGCAAAATATCTGATATTTTGAAATTAGTTTATTTACAAAATGATCCATCAATAAAAAATAAAAATTATATATTTAAAACTACGTCAAAAACTCTATAAAAAGAGATGTGGGTAGAATATTTTATTTTATGAAGTAATCAATAAAAACACACATATAAACAAAAGCTAACAAGATGAGAGAGAGAAAAATATTGTAATCTAATTCGGGACAAAGAGAGTATAAAATATCATCTCTTTTAATTTTTTTAAAAAATTATTCTTCAATAACTAAAAAATTATTTTGAAATTATTTTCTTGATTTTCTGGTAAGTACTCTCAAGTCACATTTTTCGAAATTTACTCCGGGTCTATTGAGTTTGTGATATCATACTTCGATGATACATTTCGTCCATTTAGGCGTTACGGATGAAAGTTCTATTACTTTGACAATTGAAATATTTTATTCAAATTTAATAAAATAATAATTGATTATATGGGTTAAAATTGAAGGAATGGAATTTTAAATTCTAACGGTCAAATAGAAGGAATGTGGTGAGAATGCATCATCACAAATTTTAAGGACCACCGATGGTTATTTCAAATTATTTGGGACTTGAATTTGGGTTTTTATCAGAAAGTCGAGGGTACTCGAAGTATATTTCAAATAACATAGGACATAGGAGTTCTTAACAAAAAATAGAGGGTATCGCACAGTTATTTTCTGATAAATAACACAGTGATTCAAAACTATAGATATCAAAAGTTCTACGGAAAATATGAGAATATTGTTTTATTTAATCAACGGATCAATAAAAACATGTATACAAATATAAGATATGGCGTAATAATATTTAATACCGAAAATTAATTTGAAACGGGATAAGGATATATTTATTATAATTTCGAGAGGCAATGCACCATGAATTCAAAATGAAGGATCTTGGCCTCTTCCATTACAATTATTGAGATAAGTATGCTCGGGAGATCCTCGATCAAACACATTGGGATTGAAATAATAGACTTTAAAATGGCGTGCAAATAAAAAGGTGATGGTCCAAAGTGGGAAGACCCTCTAGGTTTTTTTGGGCCTAGAAGATACTGGGCCGTTGTCCTTCCACTGCTGGGAAACGGAGGTTTTCGCTGCTCTGTGAAACCAGCCTGACGCATTGCCTTCCAATTTTAGTGGACTAGACTCCCATTCTTTCGAATAAGAACCTAGGCCCAAATCCCGGCTTGGAATGGGCAGCCCAGTTATAACGATCTTCAAGCCCGGCCTTCGAGGCCAACCCAACGTCCCACCACCTCACAGCCCCCACTTGGGTTACAAGCCCACGTTACTGAGCTCAGCGAACGAACTGTAGAACTGCCCATTTATTAAGGAGAAAAGTATAATATGGAAATCCGGTGTGGGAAAAATAAATGCCTTCCTTTGTTACCCGCTAATCAGCCCCGCTTTGTTTTGTTTTTTTTGATTGAATCCATGTTCTCCTTGCATATTCCATGAAAATATAAATACTCTTCCTTGTCAATATGTTTTCCTCTCATATATTGAAGAGTTGATATACTAATTCCATACACCGTTTTAAAAAAATATTCACTATCTGTACAATTTTAAGTCTCGAATTACTGGAAGCTTTACAAGAAGCTAATCACCGCCGTCACGGATATTAGATAGTGTTTCACGCTTGTTGTCAATGGGTTGCCGCAACGGAGGACCCATCATCCCATTGGGTTAGGTGGCCAGTGGCCACCCCTCCCTTATCTTCATTACATGTTGTACCGAAAAATAGAGATCAATTGTACCAAATAACTTACGTGTATAATTTTTTTTAAAACTGTACAAAATATTTGAAATAAGTTATATGAAATGACTAAATATACTATTTCCATCCAAATTTATTAAATTCATTCTCTAAATTACAAAGAATGATTTAAAAAAAATAACGGCCCAATTTGGAGTAGAAAAATATATACGAAGAATGATTTAAATAAAAGGTTTCTATACTAGACCTAACATCCACAAAAAAATGTGATCCTTACATATTTTTTATTGCCTCTATCTCAAAATTTTTGTACAACTTTTTTTGCACTCACAATTGAGAAACTTTGACAATTGATTGAATATAATTTAAATATTAGGTATTCTTATAAAAAAATACTTTTATTAAATTTATTTCATAAAATATTACTTTATCTAAATAATGTGTCGTGTAATTTTTATTAAATTACACGGTGTAGGTCAAAGTTCGATCTTGGATAACTACAAAAAAGAGAAATTAACTTAAATAACACTAAAACATAATGACTTTTCCGAGCCTAAACAGCACCACATGTGTTTTTCTTCCCAATGTAGTACTTTTAGTCATTATGCATTTGTCATTATTCAAGTAAATATTTTCCATCACAAGACATCATGGATATTATTAAGTGTTATTTAGAAAATAAAACAATTTAAGTACTATTTAGGGAAATGACTTAAGTTTTAGTGCTATTTAGTGCAAATATTTCTTTATGATAAGAACTTCTAGGTACTCTCAATTTTAAAAATACACTTTCAGGTACCTCAATTTATTAGAAAACTTACCAACGGGGGACCTCCGTCAATTGGTCTGTTAATTTCATCATCATCATCTTCTTCTTTTCCTCCGATCCAGACCCCCATCTCTCCCCCTTTTTTCTTCTTTTATTATTGTTATTGGTATTATTATTATTATTATTATTATTATTATTATTATTATTATTATTATTATTATTATTATTATTATTATTATTACTACTACTACTACTATTGTTGTTGTTGTTGTTTGTTAGAATATAAATAACTCTTCCTAGGCCACAACCACAAGCTTGAGCTTTTGGTTGAATTGGTTCCTTGACATGGTATCAGAGTCTTGTTGACTAAGAGGTCATGGGTTCGGAACTCAGCGCCACTCAATTTTAAGAAAATTAAAGTTTCACGTGCAACTGTGCAAGACTCGAAAATGACTACACATGCACGTGAGGGAGCGTGTTAGAATATAAATAACACTTCCTAGGCCACAAATACACGCTTGAACTTTTGGTTGAATTGGTTCCTTAACATTGTTGTTGTTGTTGTTATTAAAACTAATTCTTGTTTTACTACATCTAATTCTAAAAAACACTAGTGCCCACCAAAAAAATTATATACCCACCATAACCTTTCCCAGTCTCCACTCGGCAAAAAGAGGGTTGAAGCATTTTAAATTTTTAATAAAAAATAAATTTTGATAATCAATCTAAGTATAACTTATAAATTAAAAAATTTTTACTCTGGTATTTAATTAGGTATATAATATATGCAGTACATTATAATTTTAAAATAATAAGATGAAATTTAACACTATTTTTATAATTAAACACCAGAAAAATTAAATTTCTGTCAATAAAATTTAACACTCTTTCTGTCATTAAAATACATAGCGTTAAATTTTATCGTATTATTGTGAATTATTACGTACTATTTATGTCCCAAAACGATTTTTATACTAATTTATAGATAGAATGATATTTAAAAAATATGAGATTCTACACATTGTTAGAATAGTGCAAATAAATTTCGAATAATTAATGTGTAAAATCTCATATTTTTTTAAATACCGGAGTAAACAATTTTAAATTTATAAATTATACTCTCTCCTTTCCAATTTTGATTTCAATCTTTTTTTATCTCATCTCTCGATAACTTTGGTTTACTTGTGTATTTTCATTGATTATTTGATAAAATAAAATATTTTTGTCACCTCTTATCTTGTAGAACTTTTGATGTAGTTTTTTAATATGTAATTTTTATTTTTTATTGATGTAACAATTTGTAAATAAAATGATTTCAAAAGATACAGTATCTTACCTCGTAAATTGTAATTTGTAATCAAATTTGGGACGTAGAGAGCACATAAATTGATCATTAAAACTAATTTTTTATTAAATATTTAAAATACTTTAGTCTTTTCTTTACCCAAGTAGAGATTGGAAAAGCTTATTGGGGGTATATAATTATTTTGGTAGGGCATTAGTATTTTTTTAGAACTAGAGTAGTAAAACAATATTTTCCTCAAAAAAATGGGTATTTTACCTAAATAGGACTTAAACATAATGACTTTCTCAATATAGGACCATATGTTTTTTTTTCTCAATGTAGTTGATCAATATCTATTAGTCATTATTCAACTAAATGTCCAGCATTACTTGGTCATTAGTTTTCTCACTAGTTATTATTAAGTCCTATTTAGGGAATAAAAAAGTTTAAGTCCTACATTGGAAAATGACTTATGTTTTAGTCTCATTAAGTGCAAATATCATTTTTTTAAAATTAAGGGTACCCGGTAGTTCTTATCATAAAAGTGGGGGTACCAATTTTTTGTAATAATAATAATAATAAGTAAATATGAAAATTAGCCTTGGTTTGGGATTTTTTTGCGGGAAAATTGGAATGAAATTGAGCAGAATTTTCATGGAAGAAATACCAAAGTAGGACTAAAACATTGAAAATATACTAAAATAGGACTTCCATGTTTTTATTCCCAAAATAAGACTTACATTACCAAACATGATCATATACATTACCGAAAAAGTATAGTAATTTGCACATGTGCACTGCCACATTACCACAATGCAAAGTCACATTACCACAGTGCAAAGTTATATTTCGGAAAAAAAACATGAAAGTCCTATTTTGATACTTTTATCTATGTTTTAGTCCTATTTAGGATGATTTCTAAATTTTCATTCAGCTTTTATATATATATATAGTAGATAGTAGATTTTTGTTCTTCCTATTTGGCAACAAAATCTTATTGAATGTACCTTTATACCCCTACTTCTTTTCTACAGTAATCACCTTATGTCATCACATCAAAGACAAACATGAAAAGTTTTTACACTTTTTAACTTTTTCTAATTTTTGTGTCAAGTCATAACGTAAGAGAAATTTATGGACGGAAGGAGTATTATACATGTAGAGAGAGAGAGAGACATTATAAGTCCTAAAATATGTAGGTATTATGTTGGCATTTAAATTATAAATATATATGTATATATAAAAATGATACTCCCACTCCGGGACTAATCTAGTTTTTCACCAAATACTTCCTCCGTCCTAAAACCATCTTCCCACTTCTCTTTTTTCTCCGTCCTAAAACTACCTTCTCACTTCTTTTAAAAAATGTGAATAGACTTTGTTACCCCCTCTCTCAATTTGTTGGCTTCTCTCCATCGGTCTCTCCCTCTCACTCGTCCCCATCTATATTCTCTTCTTCTCTCTTCTCTCTCATTCACAACAATTTCTTATCATCATCTTTCCTCCATCTCTCTCAAAACCTAGGCTTAATCATTTCCATCTTTCTTCCTTCAAAATCTAGATCTTATCTTCTTTTTCCTTCAATATCTAGATCTAATCTTTTCTCCACCAAAAAATATATCTAATCGTTGCTTCCATTGTCGCCGAGCAGAGCGCCCCGTCGCTGAGCAGTAAGTCGCAAAGAGACCGCCATCTCTTTCAGATCGCAATGTGGATTATTAGCTGCTACATGACTACCTCCTGTGAGATTTGCCCAGATACGTTAGTGGCTTTGACTTTGGTGACATTTGCCCAATTTTTGGCTTGCTGCGAAATGGTTTCAGGCAAGCTATTGCTGGGGGTTGCTCGGAAGTGGGGTGAGATTGCTCCAAATTGTTTTGTAGACTTCTGATCCCCCTTTTCAAAGTTTAAAAGAAGGGTATTTTTGTCAAGTCAAAGTCATTTTAGTCTTCTCTTAAAAATGGGCTAAAGCCAAACCGAGAAGGTTGATTTAGGAGAGAAAGAGTATCAAGGATCAAATGAGATTACTAGACCTATCTCAAGGACCACTTCCTCTCATTTTTTGGACCCCCGTCCCAACCTATTCTGATATATTTTTTGGTTCCTAGTCATTTTCCTCATCTCTACTGATGACATGAATTATCAACGAAAATGTGTAAAAGAATAGGTAAATATGTCTTTTATTTTGGGAGGGAGACCGTATAAATTAACAAGTACGAAGTCGGCCATTATACCCCGCCCTATAATGAAAGAAGTCAAAGAAGCACTGCAAGCTAAGAATGACAAATTATTTAATGATTCCTCTAAACATGGTATAGAATTTATTCACATTACATGATTTTAAAAAGTACTAGCTCCTGCATGCATGTTTTCATGTCATATATATAAACACATGCAACATACAAGTAATACACTAATTAATCTTTATATATTCTCTGCAATTAATCACTTAATAAAATCATATCACAAGAAGAAGAAGAAGAAGAAGAAAGATGAAGGGTGGGATGGCATTATTATTGCAGGTGGCCATTGTTGTGGTGTTGGCAGTGTTGAGTGTGGGGAGGAGAGGAGTACTGGTGGAAGGTGGCGGCGGCGGCGGCGACCTGATTTGCGAGCCAAAGGACTGCTTATTGTGCTGCGCCGTGAATTGCAAGGGAAACCCAAACCCCAGCTGCTATAGCGACTGCGTTAAAGCCTGTGGTGGTGGCGTGCATGATGATCTCGTTCATTCCGACGGCCGCGTTCTTCCATTTCCGCCGCTTGCCGCCTGATCATTAATGGATATTATGTACTAGTAATTGGTTTGTTTATTTGGAACAAATAAATAATAAAGAAATTCAACATGAATGTGTTCCTTTCGGAAAAAAAAAACACATGAATGTGTTCTGTTCTTTTTTTTTCTGGTTTTTTGGTACGAGAAAATTAAGTACACTTTTATGAGATAAATAAGGTGAATTTACTTAAATAATACTACCGGAGTAAAACATAATGATTTTTCCTAAATAACATCACAGTTTTTTTTCTCAATGTAGGACTTTTAGTCATTATTCATTAGTCATTATTCAAGCAAATGTTCGCCATCACTAGACATTATTAAGTGCTATTTAGAAAATAAAATAGTTTAAGTGCTATTTAGATAAATGACTTAAGTTTTATTCTATTTAGTGCAAACATTTCAATAAATAAAGCCTATATACTTCTTCCCTTTCCGAAAACATTTTCTCTTTTGTTTTATTTGCTTTCTTCTAAACACTTTTATTTTTGCAAAACATGATTAATACTCTCTCCGTCTCACAAGACATTACCCATTTTTATGTACTTTTGGTCAAACAGTTCCACGCTGACCATAAACTATAGCAAAAACCATTGCAATATATTCTATCTTTTTTACATTGATATAATAAGTTATTTAAATGATTTATTTCTCTTTTTTCTTCAACACCAAAGATAAATAAGAAAGTCAAACTATAAAAATAAATCTCACAAAAGTAAAAATAGGAATTATTTAAGTGATTTATATGCATATGCCCATTTGGAGTACGTCATATTAGTTCAAGCAATTAAAGATTATTTGATCATTTAATTGTCTTACTATTCAATAAAAAAATATTTTTTTAACGAAATAGTATGTATTATGTCATGTTGAACTGGCCAAATAACATCAGTACTCTCCCCGGTTTGAAAAACAAACACTAATATCTTTTATTTTCAAAACTTATTTCAAAAATCTTTGTGGTTTCAAAATGTTGCATCCATACCGCCTCTAATCATTTTCCGGCTATTTTCCGGTGAAAAGGGGGTATTGGTTCCTTTATTTTTTTTAATGAAGGTTTTTTTAAATTTATTTTTTAAATAAAAAAAGTACGTCTAAAATTAACAACTTTTATTTTTTGTTTTCTGAAATAAAAATGTAAGAACTTTTTTTTGAAAACTTCAAAAAATAAGAAATAAAATAAAAAATAAAAAATAAAAAATGAATATCCTTTTTGGATATCCAATTCTAAAGACTTTTTTAGCGTTTTGAAAATTCGTTTTTGTATAAGACTCTTTTTTTCCATGTTCTCGGATAGTACTACACCAGAATCCGACCCGCCTTTAAACCCAAAACTCATACCCAAACCCAAACTCGACTTTTAAACTCAAAACCCGAACCGATCCGAATTTGACTTTTAAACCTGAAACGCAAACCTGACTTTTTAAATTTATTTTTTAATTTCAAATTTTTTATTTTTAAATTTTTTAGTTTTCAATTTGAGATTTTAACTTCTAAATATCAAATTTTAAATTAGAAATTTTAAATTTTAACTTCGAAATTTGAAAATCCAAATGTTTAAAATTTAATTTTAAGCTTTAATTTTTATATTTTTATCTTTTTTTTACTTTTTTACTTTTTAATTTCTTAAATTTAATTTATATATTTTAAATTTTAAGTTATAAAATTTAATTTTTTAAAGTTTTAATTCCAATTTTTAAATTTTAAATTTTTATTGTTTTAATTTTAAATTTTAAATTTTTTAATTTTAAATTTTTAGTTTTGAATTTGGCATCTTTGATTACTCAAAAAAGTATGTCAAAGAAGTCAAAAGTCAGCCGAAAAAATGATTTTCCAATGCACTAAAAGTCTATATAAGACCCGTTTCTTTGTTATGATTCTAAAAGCATCCACATACTTTTATTTTTACTCGTGAAAATCAAAGTTTGGATTTCAAATTTTCTTGTGTTATAGAATTAAAGATGTGGAATTGGAAAACTTAGAATTATAATTCAATTCCAAATTTACATATTTTTGTGCTACTAGACGGCAGAGTTAGAGTTGAAGTCTCAAATTCAAATTTATTGGCATGAAATCCGTGTACCAAATGGAGCATAATTTTATACACCGCATTTCATATTAATTAATACAATAAAGTAAAATTTTGGAAGTCCTCTACAAGATATATGTAATGAAATTATAGACATATATTTTGGAGTATTCTATTTTTTTATTTAATTAATGTTCAAAATAAGTCTAGTTTAACTCTGAAAAATTAATCTAGACGAGTATACTAAGACGATAGTAGTATATTGAGCTTCTTTCGGCTGGAGTGGCAGAAAAATTATTTCCCAATATTCATGTTGAAGTTTATTTTGATTCCTGGCAAGGCAGATGCACTGCCTTTTGGTGCATTATTTAGTTAAAAAATATAAAGATAAATTACATTGTACTCCCCCCACCCTAAATCTTTCTTTCTGATTCAGTTTACGAGATTTGACTAAAATTATTTTTAATTCAGCTTATTTAACTATGAGTGTAAAATTAAAAAATAAAAAGTATATATATTTAAAAACTACATCAAAAGTTTTGCAAAACAAGAAGTGACATGACTATATTATTTTACTCCAATATCAATTAACTAACAGAAATAAATAAAGAAAGTGACTAGAATTTGACTGTGAAATACTAACTATAGAAAGTTTTAAGACGTACAAAGTAATAAAACTATTAGCAATAAAAATAGTTATACAAAACTAGAGAACTAATATATTAAGGTCATGTGTTATGACGGGCTAAGGTGTATGATCTGAAGTGATGAAAAATATATGTTATGATGAATGTGAAAGAATGTGATAAGGTGCGAATGGGTCGCATATTCTCTATTATTTTAATCTACTCCCTCCGTCTCAAAATATAAACAACATTACGCTAAACGAAGTAATTTTTTTGAATTTTTTCAATCTATTTTATTTAAAAAATGGTGTATAAATGAAAAATAAAACTTACATATTTAAAAACTACATCAAAAGTTCTACAAAACAAGTGGTGACAAGAATATTTTATTCTATCAAATAATCAATGAAAATGCAAAAATAAATAAAAGTTTCCGATATTTTTAAATAGTGGAATGTTACTTATATTTTAGGACGGGAGACTATGATATTAGTACTCATGGATTCTCTCTTGGGAATAATAATAGATCAAAACTCAATAAAAATAAGCCTACCTATAAAACAACTGTATCTGTGCGAGTTAGTTGTTGAAGATGGAGAAGAGGTTTCCATTAATAAATATAATATATCCTCAGCAATGGGAAGTTGCAGAAGGCGGAAGGGTGAAGAAGAGATAGACATGGGACCCGTCTCCGACGCCGTAATCCGCCAGCAGAGCCCCGTCGTCGGACATCAAACACTGCTCCTCGCCGCCGCCGTCCATCACCAACACCAGTCTGTCCCGCGGAAGCTGCTTATCTTGGACGCAGATCTCCTTCTTCAAGTCCAACACGGTGGCGCCGTCCCCCAGCAGGACATTGAACCACCGCCCCGTCAGTATCTCCACCGCCACCATCATCATCATCATCATCATCATCTCGCAGATCTTCGATTCTTAAATATTTTTGGGGTATTTATTTATGAAATTTTACTGTGACTCCAGAATATGCCAGAAATTAAAAAAGGCATGGGACAATTTTGGAATCACTGGTTAATTCATTCCTATAATTAGAAGATTGAATCGGCTTTTCTTAATTATTGCCCCGTGATGGATCTTAATTGCTGGAATTGGTCTTCCATAATTATCGTTTCCTTTTCCCCAATTAATTCTTGTTAGAATTTAGAAGTATAAAAATTTACATTCTTTTTTCCTCCGGTAGAAAAGGGGGGACGACGTTTTCGAGTAGAGGTTTGTATTTTGGATTACTTTGTATCAAATGAACACAAACTTGCTTTTGAACAATATTTTCGATTAACTTTAACATTTTGAATAAAAATTTATCTTTTTCCCAACGGGGCTTTTATCCTTTTGACTTAATTTCCTTGCTATAGATTTTCTTTCCAATCAAAATGTACCTCATTTCTAAGAGCCTATCAAAATTGGTGGGACTGACACTTTTTTCCAAAAACAATAAAATGTAATCCAAAATAAAATAAAAAATAATCCAACATATTTTTAATTTTTCTAAAATATTTGAAGTTTTTGAACGCTGAGTGGTGTAAGATTAAGTGGCTTTAGATCTTCGTCCCTCTATAAATTATCTTCTTAGTTTCATTTTTCACTTGTTCACGAATTATCTTCCCATTTCTACTTTAAGATAATTTTATTTGTAAAATATCCTCCCTTGTCCTTAAAAATAAATTTCAACTTTTTCGCCAGTCACCAACCATTTCTTATCTCAGCGGTGCATCATCTTCTTCTTCCTATTCTTTTTCTTGGTTCCCTTCTCTATCCAATCTCAGCCACCAACTCCTTTCTTCTTCTTCTCTTTGCCTTTTTTAGAATCATTTGAAATTTTCATTTTTCAGATATTTTAAAATTCTTGGAGGTAGCAGAGGTTGGAGGCGACACAGTAGAGTAGTGAGGCGGCAGTCGGAGGTAAAATCTATGAAAAATGCTAGCGGTACAACTTTCGTACACCTTTGGTGTACCCCATTTGTCCTCCACTCACTTCATCACCACAAAAAAGGCAAGAAACTAAAAAAAATTAAATAAATAAAAATAGAATAAAATTAAATGGTGAAGAAAGGAGTGGAGGACAAATGGAGTACACCAAAATTGAATTGCTCAAAATCTATTCCGTCTGCAAACATTGGGATCATTTGCTGTTAGAGAATAATATATTAAATATTATTTAATATATGGCTTAGCATGATTTGTGGAGATAGAGGAGCACCGTATGCATGCATGGCGCCATTCACAGAGATTTCATTCCTTGTTAATATTGTTACCTATTTTATAGCTAGTTTATGTATGGTAGATGTGTATATTGAATAGGTTTCCTTGTGTAAATCTAAGGCTATATATGTGATAGTCGATGGCATAAACAGCAGCTTTAGAAATATAATTTCTATACAAAATCTTTCATGGTATCGGAGCCTTCGGGCCTTAAAATTTTTATGTAATTTTTTTACGATCGATGGCGACTCCCGGAGAGAAGAAGTCCGACGGCGACACCGGCGGTAATGACGCTTCTCAACGTCGCACGATCTCGCCGTATGACCTTCATGCTAACGATAATCCGGGGTTGATTATCACGCAGGTCATCCTCAAAGGTGAAAACTACGAAGAGTGGGCACGTGCAATTCGTACCGCTCTTCGTGCTCGGAAGAAATTTGGTTTCGTGGATGGGTCAATCCCGAAGCCCGGTGATGACTCCCCCGATCTGGAAGATTGGTGGACCAATAACTCACTTCTTGTTTCCTGGATCCGGAACACGATTGAGCCGTCACTCCGTACGACGATCT